TCAGATCTGACTGGTACAGGAGGAGATTGTTCCTCCTTCTCCAGCAGAGCATCTGGTGGATTTGAACCGTGCACCTCTGGTATTACAGTACACCTTCTTGCCACTAGGCTACCATAGCTCACCTGCTTCTCCTTATTTTAAAAAGTGGAACTTTAAAAAAAGAAGACAGTGGAACTTTAAAATACTGACACACATAATGCAAGAATTTATCCTTGGGCTAGGAGAGGGAAATTTAAAAAAAGTTAATGTCTTCCCGTCTTTTTTTTCTAATTTGCTCCCAAATTGCATCCACTCTTAGTTGTTACTAGGAGTTGTCCAGGCAAGTAGGAACAACAGAACTGAACCCTGTACTATCCTTTGCCCTCCTCATCATCTCTGACACACTTCAGTCCATTGCTGCAGTCACTATATCAATCCATCTTAGCATATTGGTAAGAGAGGCTATTCCTTGGAAAGGGCCATCATGTTTGGAAAGATGGAGGGTTGGTGTCCATTCTTAGTAGTGACTACAGTTACAATTAGATCTGTCTCCTCCCACCCAGGTTCTTCTTGTTAGGTGCCGCTGGAGTTCATTCCGACTGGCTGTGTACAGCAGATTGAAACCTTGCTATGTCCTGCCCATTCTCACCATCTCCTCTGTGCCATTTTTGCAGTCATTGTGTCAGTCCACTTCCTTGAGGATCTTTCTCACCTTTCCAAGCATGATGTTCTTTTCTCGAGACTGGCTCCCCTGGAAACAAAATTTGTAAGAAGTCATCATCCTTCCCACCAAGATGCACCTCACTGTACTTCTTGTTCTTTCCACAGTCCATAGTATAGTCAATACTCTTCACCAACACCCAATTCAAAGGCATTGATTCTTCGTTGGTCTTCCTTATTCATTGTCCAACTTTCACAGGCATACGAAGCAATTGAAAAAACTAACTTGGATCAGGCTCATCTTAGTTTTTAAACAGGCATCCTCGGCAGCAGGTTTGCCCAATCAGCTTTTGATTCCATGACTGCTGCTCCCAGGGATACTGATTGTGCATCCAAGTAAAATGAAATCCCTGACAACTTCAGTCTTTTCTCCATTCATCATGATGTTACCTACTGGTATGGTTGTGAGGGCATTTTCTTGATGTTAATGTTAATCTATACTGAAGACTGGACAATGACTCGAGATGATAGAAGAAGAGTTGATGCGTTTGAGCTATGGGGCTAGAGAAGAGTTGAATATACCATGGACTGCTAGGAGAACAAAAAGGTCTGTCCTTGAAGGCCAGGAATTTGAAGCTCCATCTGACATACTTTGGGCATGTTGCAAGGGAAGGCCAGTCCTGAGAGAGGGACATCATGCTTGGAAGGGTGGAGGGACAGCATAAGAGAGAACACCCTGCATGAGATGGATTGACGCAGTGTCTGGATTAATGGAGGTAGGTATGTCAAAGACAATGGAATTGGCTCAGGAAAGAGCAGTGTTCAGAGCTGTTGTACATAGGGTCACTATGAGTCATTGTTGACTTAACAGTATATAACAACCCAACAACACACTGATGACTATTATAATGCAGGTTGAGTGGGAAGTCACCTGTAGCTGACCCTCCAGCGAGTTTTCAGAGGCAGTAAGTGGCAAAGGAGGAGACTGCCCATCTTTCTCCTGCAGAGCAGCTGGTGGATTTGAACCACATGCCTTTAGGTGGGCAGCATATTCTTTAGTAAATACTTCAAGTCCTCTTATTGTTTAGCAAGCAAGGTTGTGTTATCTACATAACAAAAGTCCCTATGGATACAAAAAGTTTTCAGTAGACTACTGACTAAAAAGGCAAATTTAATTCATGCATTGGTTCTACAGAAAATAAGCCTGGTAATATGCTTCTGGAAAGCATATACCCTTTCTGCCTCTCCCCAAAACAACCAAAAACTGTGGGTCAAGGTGGCAGACAAGAGAGACAACAGTCCAGATACTTTTCAACAAAATCACTAGAAAACAAAGAACAATGTGGATGAAAATTCTAGAATCCAGAATTCCATTTTTTTAAAAGAAAAATACAAGGAAGTTCTTTAAATATCAACTGAAGGAAGAAACGGAATGAAAACATTTTTAATAAGGAGGTAAATGGAATCCAGAACAATAAGCAGTGCAGTGTGGCCATTTTGAACAACTGTCTACTTTGTACGGGAACCCATGAACAGCAGTGGTATCCATACTAGTGGCTAGCTGATGACAGGAAAGGACTGATTCTTCCTCTGCCCTGCCCTTCACGCCCTCCCAGAGATCAGGGAGTGACTTTCCCCACCATCACCATCCACCAAATGGCAGGCAGTGTTCCCCCAGCCGGTCCCCACTACCTTGGAGGTGAAGCCTGCACCCTTTTGTATCTAATGCTGGGAGCATGTGTATGACTACAGCCAGAGACTCCCATTGTAGATCTTGTCATACTTTTTCAAAAAGATGGAAAAAGGAATCACCAACCTCATATGGAAAGGAAAGAGACTTCAAAAAGGCAAAGTGATTCTAAAGAACAATAAGTCAGAGGCATTACATTTTGTGATCTCAGCACCTACTACATATCCACAGTAAGGAGAACAGCTTGGTACAGGTACAGGGACAAAGAAATAGATCAGTGGAATAGAATTAAAAGCTAAGAACTAAATTAATCTACCTGTGAACAACTGACCTTTGACAAAGAGATGAAATCCATTAAATGCAGCCTTTTAACAAAAGGCAGTAACAAAACTGAGTTTCCTTTTGCAGAATATGTAAACAAGACCCCTACTTCATGCCATATACAAAAACTAACTCAAGGTAGATCAAGCACCTCAGTGTAGAACCTAAAACTACAAAGACAATCAAAGAAAAATTGGGGCAAACTTAGGATCCCTAATTTATGGCATGAACAGACTATCAAGTAGAATTGAAAATGCACAATCAACAGAAAATAAACTAGATAATTAGGACCATCTGAAAATTAAGCCTATGAACATCTGAAGACTTCAAGAGCAAAAACAGACCCTATAGACTGGGATTTGGCAATGAAACAGCTGACAAAGGACTCATCTAAAATTTTATAGAAAACAACACTTCAAAGAGAAAAAGACAACAATTACAAAATTGGTGGATAACATGAAAAGATATCACCAAAGAAGACTTTCAAATGACTGCCAGACGTATGAAGACAAATCA